TGATCAGTACAAATAAGCGGAGAAAAAGTGATGTGCCGATTCAAATATGCCATTATAATTATCATATTATAATAAGAAATTTGGAAAATTGTTATCAAATAAATATTGCTTCACAGTTTTTTTGAATTTTTTCATTTGTAATAATTTGAAATCAATGGGTAACCGGTTGTAAAGGCGAGCGATCTGGAATGAAAATGAGCCACGAAAAAAGGAGGTTTTGTGTTTAGGCGCAGCCAAATTATTTCGAAATCTTGAGTTGAGATTATGAATGTCAGTTCTGAAAGTCAGTTTCTTGAATAGATAAGGAGGTTTTCCAGTTGTTATTATTTTATGAAATATCGTACTGGAGTGTAGTGTACGCCTAGCCTCCATGTTCAGCCATCCAAGATTCCTTAAATGTTGCGTAACATGTTCCCGCTTTCTTGTGCCCGTAATAAGTCTCACACATGAGTTCTGCAATTTTTGTAGTCTCATTTTGCCCGATTTCATCAGCCCCGGTCCATAAACCACGTCTGCATAGTTAGCATGTGATAACACTAAAGCATCACAGAGTATCATTTTACTTTTTTTATTCAAAAAATTTCTGTTTGAATAGATCGTTCTTAGATTCATCTAACCCTGTTTTAAAATATGAGAAACGTGTGTAGTGAAGCGTAATGCATTATCAAGGTACAATCCCAAATTTTTCGTTGTATCTGCGGTGGGTAGGGGGACTCCGTCAACACGAATATTCAAAAAATTCTTGCAACGATTTCTTGCTGCTGTCCTTCCGAAAAGCATAACGTATGATTTGGATTTATTAACAGTGAGGCAGTATTTATTTGAAACGGTTATGAGAGTATTCAAATCATGATTCATTTGGTCAAGTGCCAGGTTGAAGGAGTTTTCTTCGAAATTTAAATACATCTGCGTGTCATCAGCATAACAGTGCATTGAAGCGTAACGTAAGGACTTTGCGAATTGTGAAGTGTAGAGAACAAAAAGAAGAGGGCCCAAAATTGATCCCTGAGGAACACCGTTCTTTATTTCTAGTGATTTAGATTTTTCATTGTTTATGATAACGCTTTGAGATCGGTTGAAAAGATAATTTTTGAGTAGAGATATGGCATTCATAGTGAACCCCAGGTAACTAAGAATTGATAAAAGAAGTTGGTGATTGATTCGATCAAAAGCCTTAGAATAGTCGAGCAATACTAGTAGACACAATTCATTGTTATCAATAGAGATGTGTATATCATCAATCACTTTCAGAAGAGCGGTGGTACAACTATGGTCACATCTAAAGCCTGATTGGCAGGATGGTAATATGTCAAATTCATTCAAGTATATACGCATCTCAGCATTCAATATCTTTTCGAAAGCTTTCGAGATTGCACACAAAATGCTTATTGGGCGAAGGTCACTCATATTTTCTGCATTAGCAACTTTCGCTAATGGAAGAATATGCGAACGTTTCCAACTTGCTGGATAAACATTTTTCTGTATGCAGAAATTGAATAGGTGGGTTATATGTGGCAATATCAGGGGACCGCAATGTAGTAACATTTGAATGCTTACCTTGTCATGTCCAACAGCGTTTGAATGTATACTTAGTATAGTTTTATCATGATTATTTGCTGTATTACCAGAAAAGAAACGGATCGTTTCATCATCAGGTACTGAGTCATTATTTGATACACTCCCGAAAAAATTGTTGATTTCCTCAGCATTCATCAGGTGCTCAGGGATAGAATTTCGTGATTTTTTGTTGTGAACGTTCATGTCAGCCAATTCTTTCCATAATTGCCTACTTCTTTTCAAGCGATAGTCTAGGTAAGATCTCTTTTCTAGATTTACGGTTCGGTTTGTGAGATTTTTTATTTCTTTATAATAATTCCAATGTTGTGGAGCCTTTGTTCTTTTGAATCTCGTCAGAGCTTTGTCTCTGAGTTTGAACATGAACTTCAGATTATCCCAGGAGGGGTGAAAGAACTTACAGTCACAACTCCACCACATAAAAATTTTAATAATGACCAACGGTCATGGACATAAAAAGGACATGTTTATGTCCATGACCGTTGGTCATTATTAAAATTTTTATGTGGTGGAGTTGTGACTGTAAGTTCTTTCACCCCTCCTGTTATATATCACCTCCACTGTAAGTTATGGATCACCTACGTTGGTTCAGATTATCCGTTATCCAAGGTGCTTTTTTCTTGGTAATTTTAACGGTTTTTATAGGCGAATGTTCATCAAAAAGTTTGAGAACCAAATTAGTGAACAGAATAATAATCGTTGTCGAGGAAGCTATTCCCCATTTCAAGTGAACATCTGAGGGCAATCATGGATATTGTCAAATAAGTACTCTTGTCCTCAATAGATAATTTCCTTAAATTAGCAATAGTTGATTTTGGAAGAATTCCTCTCGCACCTACTACGATCGGAATCACTTCGAATGTTGTTCCACCAATCCTATTAAGAATTGGATTTCTCAGACATTCATACTTGTTTCGTTTTTCTTCGTTGGCCCGCTCAAGGGACCCTCTATCCTCATAGCGGACTGCGGAGTCGACTACAAGGACCCTTTCCTGGTTCTTAATGACTAGGTCCGGTTTAAGGGTTTCCCCGCGTGCTACGAAGGTCGGCTCGGTTAGCACTTGCGCATCCGGGAACTTATGGCCATATTTCTCCACCACAAGGTTTTGAATCTCGTTGTGTCGATTTATGGCTGCTCCTTTTTGCGTTGTGCATCCACCTATTACAAGACTCAGTGTTTCGGGTCTGAGTCTGCACTTTCTGCATTCGATTGGGACGTCGTATCCGGATCTCTTCAGGGCTTCAGGGTTTCCGAAGGTGTTGGTACGGAACCGCAGCGCATCGATCAATCTATTGGGCAGTAAGAGATCATCGCGCATTAGCCATTGATGGGAGATGCTGCTCTCTTTGTAGTATTCGGCTCCTTGTCCCTGGGAATTGAGATTTACCCAAGTCTCAAGTTCTCGCTTTTTAGACCGAGTTTTCTCCAGTTCACATTGTCGAACACTACGAGGCATTGCAATCCGGAGGTTTCGGGCAGCTTTTTGTGCGCTCTGAGCCAGTCTCGAATTTTCGGCTAAGCTGCGTAAGATTGGATCCTGGGATCTATCCATTGCTGCTCTTGCCATCAAGATGGCGAACTGTACGTCGGTTTCCAGCCGAGGCATGCCCAATCCCCCGTCCCTTGTACGAGTGTAGAAAAGTGCGTTCGTGACACTGCTTGGAAGGTGGAAAATCTTCCTGACGAATTGCCGGATCTCGTCGTCAACGTGCACGAGTTCCGTCTTTGCAGGCGGGTCGTGCACGAAGCTGTATCTGAACTTTGGGTACACGTATGCGGTGATCAACTTCAGTTTCTGTTGTGGTTTCAGCGTTCCAAGTCGCTGTATATCCTTACAACAATCCACATATTTCTGAAGGGCGAGCCTTTCTGAAATACTCCCTCGCCAAGGAGTGAAGTCGACCCCCAGATACCTGAGTTCCTCATCTGGCCCCACATACTTGACCGCTTCGCCTCTGATGTTGAGTGCGGGATCTTCAACTGCCCAAGTTTTGCGTAGTGTCCTGATTTTAAAAAAACAACACTTGGCAATTGAGAGTTTAATTCCTAGGGCTTGAAAGTAGTCCGTAGTTGCAAGAATATCTCTTGCTGCATCTTCTACTGATGTATTGACCAAAGTCACATCATCTGCAAATGCTAAAACGGACACTTTTCTTCCACCCAGTGAAATTCCCTCGTCTCGCTTATCGAAGAAGTCGAGTAGTGGGTCCATGATCGCGTTAAATAGAAATAGCGAAAGCGGATCACCTTGTTTCACACCTCGTTTGAGTTCTATTTCGATGGTGCCTTCCCTTCCATTAATGGTGGTTGTGCAGCCGCGATACATTTCGCAGATATAATTCGCTACAAATGTCGGAATTCCCAGCCTTCTCAGGGCTGGTTTTAGCGCCTCATGCGGCACTGTATCGAAGGCTTTAGAGATGTCCAAAAAAGTGCATACTCCGCCTTCTTCTTCCTTCATTGTTGCCAGTATCTGCTTATATATCGCTATGTTGTTGAATGTTCCCGCTTCGCTGGTAAAGCCTTTTTGTCTACTGCAAAACTTGACGTTTTGTCTCAGACTTTCGTTGATTACCCCTGAGAATAATCGACCGACCACGGAGCTGATGGTAATTGGTCTCCAATTGGCGACCTGCTCCGGGTCTTTTCCGGCTTTAGGGATCAATGTTGTTCTATTGATCCTCCAGTTCTTCGGGAAGTATTCAGCTGCTTGGCATGTGTTATACAACATCGTAAGAACCACGAGCGCTGCCTCATTGAGCTCCGCCTTCCCTATTCTATCCAGACCAGCGGCGGTTTTAGCCTTTAATCTGTTGTATCGGCGTTTGACTGCCACAAGTTGGATAGGTGGTACTGCCACAACCCCAGCAAGCGTATTTACCGTAGGTTCCCAAGTGGGCGGGAAGGACACGGGTTCCTTTCTCGCCCAGAGTGAATCATAAAGCAACTTTATGTCTTCCGATGGTGGTGGAAGCGTCTTCGACTCCTCGAGTTCCTCGGTCCTCTTCTCGATCACGATCTTAGCTAATTGCTTAGGATCATGCTCGAAAAGATATTGGACACGTTCGTAGTTTCGCTTTCTCCTGAGATCTCTATTACGAGGTGGTCTCGTACCTCTTCCAATTTGTTGTATATGCCTCTGAGTTTCCTCGTTGGCTTTGGCTAATTTCGACGTTATTTGGTCGATAGTGGTTTCGAGCTTTTCGATGTACTCCTCTCGCCTTTGAGGATCTCCTCTCCGGATAGTCATCGCCACGTCTTCAAGTGCGATTCCAACTTCCAGGAGACCATTGGCGGATAGTTTTCCTCGGTGTTTGTAGAAGGTTCTGACCGCCGAGGCTGCCATTGCCATTCTCCAAGCATGCTCGTCCCCGTCAAACTTTTCTGCCTCTACTTCAGGTATTGGTCTGAAAATTGTCATGATCTATGTTGTCTCTATATTCGGTAAAGGTGCTTCAGGTAACCCAAGTGGGTGTGGGGCTTGTTCTGCATTTTCGTTGTTCGCTTCCCTATCCCTTCGCATATTCCTTTCAGCAATATTCCGACGTTTGTCAGATATTTGCTTTACGGTCCTACCGGGAAAGTGAGGCTGGAGTAACTTGTTGATATAGTACTCGCCTCGATATTGGGGTTCCAGTTCCACGAGCCTTGCTTCCTCATCTTCTGTCCAGCCACCCTGGACGCGTCTAGGGGGCTTCGCTACCGGCTTTTGCGCGCTTTCCAGTCTTGCGATATTACGCTCGACTGGATGCGCGCTTTTCTGGTGTAAAGATCTGCCAGTTTTAGTGGAGAATTTTCGGGGGCATTGCTCGCACTGGAATTCACCAATCTCGATTGGCGCCTCTCTTTTACAGTATCGAGGATGTTGGATGATGTTCTTCCAACCTGGAAATATCCTCGTACAGTCTCGGCATTTCCATTGAATGGTTAGCTTGGGGTGGTTCGCTTCAACGTGCACCTGTGCAGCTTCAGGTGCGGCGAATGTTGAGATTCGCTGTTCCCTTCGGCATGCACTGCAGTCAAGCAGTCCCAACACAGGGTATAAGAACTGAATGACGTTGTCCTCTGGTGTCTCCGCCAGGAGCCCATCAGCGTGAGCTGCATCCACCGGAACGTTGTGTTCATCATGTGCCGGTACTTCGTTGTCTTGGACTCCCCCTGAAGTGGCCTCCTCCCGGAAATCCGATTGAGAAGGCGTTTTACTTCCGGATTGTCTTTGCACCTCAGAAAGATCCATAGATAAACTCAACTTTGCAGTGGATAGCATACTACTATTCGGGCTTTTAAAAGGATGACCTTCTCTAACGTCTTTACCCTTTAAAAATAATAGAAGGTCCACCTAGGTTCGTTCAAGTTTCCGAGGATCTCTTATGGATGATCCTCGGGGAGACTTCTCGAATTCCAACATGTTTGTCTTCTGTTTTCAGGTTTCTACTGACATCAGAATTTTGTCCACATATAGCGTACATCATTCACGATGTTAGTTACTTCCTGAGGTTCAAAATAAAAGTTGAAACTTCGGTCGGGTTTCCCACCTGTAGCCGTGTCTACTTTGATGTTAATCGTCATGGTGGTACTCCCTCTTTTGGGCCTTTTTCTACTAGTTGCCATGACTACAATCTAGTTGACCCTGCTCTAGTTAGTCCTCAGGCCTTCAACAGTCATGTATCACGACATTCGTCGCGTGGTTGTATGTACGGCGAGGCTCGGTGAGCTTGAAGTCTTTGTAGACTTCAAGTTCACTTCTCCCTGTTTCACTTCCCAATGGAAGTTCATAAAAAGAAGTGACTACCAGAGAATCTAGGGACAGTCACCTCCCTTTCACCTTGCGGTGTCTCTGGAGAATTGGTTTGGATGTTTATGGTTTGATTTCATTGGCTCGCATTAGGTCGGTCCTCGGACTCGCCTATGCTTTCAAATCTTCCAGTTCGGTTTCTGGATATCTGCTTTTTTGTTTCCTTTTAGCACCTATGACGGGTTCTTTATGGAAACAGAGCTTACCATCTATCGCCTACCTTTGATTTCATCACATTGGGTTGATCCTTAGACCTCCCTTTAGCTCTTTGGCTCATTCTGGTTAGGCTTCAAAATTCTTGCTCTTATAGTCCCTGAAATCCAAATACAAGATTATAGCAAGGGGAAGAGCTTGGTTTTTCTGCTTCACTTTTGTGAGCGTATGAGCTAGGAGCCCATCCTACAGATATTTGGTGTTAAATATCATCGCTGCAACCTTCCGACCTTCTAAACACGTTGTAGGGATCGGTTGGAATGCAAGGCCATCTATCCTGGAGTAGCTCAACCATTTTCTACTCAACTAGTGGTATAGGCTATGTCCCATCCACTAGCCCTAGATCAGTGGTTATTCAGCTCGGATAGGCAATACCAATAGCCTAGTTTATGCTTTCTGAGCATGCTGAATCCGTGGCGTAGTCATTAGCCGCTTTTATCATCGTTGATTTTACTCTTCGATGTTTAAGCCGTTACTGGTCCCACCACTAAGAGGTTGACTACCATGGTGAAGTGCAGGGTGAATGTTCAGTGCCCGTCATGGGTACCTCTATTTGGGTGATACAATAGCTTGGGCCAAATAGAGGTAGTCCACAGGAATCACAGTTACTCTTACCATTCCATGCCTTTGATCCTTCGCTACGTTGAATTCTCTTGGCTTTTGGGTATGAGTCACACTCACCTTCACCCATCGGGATAGCTCAGTCCAACATGGACGGGGTCCGTACTGCGAACTATGTGCTCTGGTTTCTTCCCCCCTTCGATCAACAATCGTGTTCATACTTCTTTATTGAGCGGTCGCCTTTCGGCACTCATGTGTGGCTCAGAAGATGATCGATTTTATATCGAGTTAGAGGTGGGATATAACCTTCGCTTGCGCGTTAAGCGACCTGATACCTACACGTACCTTCTACGGAAGCCAGTGAGCCTTCGGGATTGTCATAGTAGGTGCACCGATTTTCCGTACACGGCATTTGACTCCACGGGGCCTTATATGCAAAGTTTAGGTCTTACTTAACGCGTTGAGAGAGTCATAGTTACTCCCGCCGTTTACCCGCGCTTGCTTGAATTTCTTCACGTTGACATTCAGAGCACTGGGCAGAAATCACATTGCGTCATCATTCGCTGGGGCCATCGCAATGCTTTGTTTTAATTAGACAGTCGGATTCCCGCGGTCCGTGCCAGAGTCATAGTTACTCCCGCCGTTTACCCGCGCTTGCTCGAATTTCTTCACGTTGACATTCAGAGCACTGGGCAGAAATCACATTGCGTCATCACCCGCTGGGGCCATCGCAATGCTTTGTTCTAATTAGCCAGTCGGATTCCCGCAGCTGCACTGCGCATACAGTTGATCTGTCCGATTCGGATCGCTACGGAGATCTTAGGTGTATGTGGCACTCTGGCCAGGGCTTTGTGTGATCAAATGCTACTCTTCCATGGGTTTGTGCAAAGTCTCTGTATAGCTCTTCAAGGTCAAAGACCTCTTTTCTTCTGTCAAACACCTGCTTGAGGAGTTTTTCCAGTTCAGTGATATCTGTAGGAATGTTGTGACATTTTAGCTGAATTCGATCCACCGCTCCCGGAACCGGGAAGGTGATTTTGTTACCTTTGATATGTTTATTTCTCACATAGTGCCTCAGGGCAGTTGTGAGCACTTTTGCCTTCTCCAGTCTGGAGAGTTGCATATTTATTTCTATGTTATCGTATATGGTTTTCGTATTTGTTATTTGTTCCTCTATTTTTCTGGGTTCGCTCTCTTTTTTCTTTCTTTTGAATAATAGCATTCTGAGTCTGTCCCTTAGGCTTTTGGAAGGCGTTTTCTTGGTTGTTCCCCCTTCTTCTTCCTTTACTCCGAGGGGAGATTACTGGCCATAATCAGTCTTTTGTATCATCCTGTCCAGCAGCATTTTGTGCGTCTGGCAGTCTGACCCTTTTTTACAGGATTTTCCCCTCATCTTTCATGGTATGCAAGTGCTTGGTTCCTGCTTTTTAGGACAATTCTTCTTTTCATGCCCGCTCTCGCCACAGTGGCTACACACATTTTCTGTTTTTGCACAATATTTGCCAATGTGACCGAGGTCTTGGCATTTCATGCATCTAGGAACTACTAGGTAGTCCTTCGTATTCACACTGGTAAAACCAATGTAAATCTTTTTCCCATACATCCTTTTTCTGAGTTGTGGAGATACCTCCACAACTAAATCACATGTTGGTTTTCCTTTTGGTCCTGTTTTGAACCTGATTTCTAACTCATTCAGAAAGTCTTCTTCTGAGATGTCCTCAAAATTCTGTGTCCTTATGTCCTCCAAGATCTCATTGTCTTGCTTACTTGTCGTTACATCATATATGATGATTAGTGGTCTTTTCTTTTTTGGTAATTCACACTTAAAGTTCTTTTTTATGTTCGGGTTGTTCATTATTTTCTCGAGATCCTCTTTCGAGGAAGCTTCGATGATTAGTGCTTTTGCTGTGGTCTTCATTCTATTGATCTTTAAGATTTGGGTCCTTGGATCCAAAATCTTGGTCACCTCATCTTGCACTTTTTTCCCATTTTCATTTTTGTTAGATGTAACGAACAAGGTATGTTCTTGTTGCCTTCTAGATCTTTCGATTATCTTTTCCTTTTCTGACATTTTGTTTATGGGTTTTGAGGCCACTGTCGCGTAGGACATTGGCATCGATACCTGTTGTTTTTGTTCTGCTTGTTTGAGCTCAATTCTGAGTCTCTCATTTTCTTCTTTGAGTGATTGTATTCTTTCCTCTAGGTTAGCCTGTTCTAGTCCCCATTCCTGTATTCTCTCTATCAGTCCTTCTCGTCCTGCTTTCGCTTTCTTTTGCTCACATCCATATCATTGTTTATGAAATTCATCATTTCAATGAATCTGGATTGAATCGTGGTTCTGTTTGTGATGCGCATGTCTGCCTCACTTGCAACGCTACTTCTTCTCTCCATGATATGACTACTACTATTACTACAACTAGATTGGATTATTGTCTCTGGCATATTGCCCTTTAGGGGGTCTCCCTCCCGGAAGGCCCTCTCACGAGATTCCCACAATTTACCCTACCCACAAGTTGAGTCCTAACTAAATCAAGTGCACTTTGCCCTACTGTGGAGCTTATTGCGGGAGGACCCCGGCTAATAGCCACAGAGTGGTTTCCGCCCCCGACTAACGTGGAGGTGGCACTTATCCCACTATCTTGCGATATATATTTTCTTTTTGATAAAGAAAACGCTCTATGTCGCTATTAATCTCTTTTAATCGCTTAGAATCGCTTTCTAACAGTGATACTCCAACAAGTAATCACTGGCCCGAGGGCAGTGGGTAGGGACAAAAAAAAAACAAAAAAAAACAAAAGGAGGGTTCAAGAGATACCACCACCACCCCTACAACTTAAATTTGTAGGCATCTCTTAGCAAATGGGGACAGTTTAAATAGGACCAAAATAACTTAATTAGTGGGAGTCTTTACGACTTCGAAGCACCTGCCCTTAGGCTTATCTTCGGGATTCTGACATGGGTAGGATTGCAGGAATTTTATAGGTTGCCTCCTTTTGTTTCGTAATACTACTTTATTTTCAAATTTATAATAATACATATATCATTTTAGTTTATAAAAATATATAACATATATTAGCAAAGATTTTATCAGATTTTTGTTTACTAAACTTAGTCTTCTTTCTTCTTTCTTCTTTATTTCTTCTGTCTTGTCTTCTTTCTTGCAATTCTTCTGTCTTGTCTTCTTTCTTGCAATTTTGAACATAATCAATCTTCAAGTTTTCATGTTATTTGTTCCTGAGAAATTTTGTGAGATCTTCAATTTTACCTACGCCGTCTTGGTTCTTGCGTTAGAAAAGATTCCAGGATACCAAGGTCTTGGCCCAGTTCTTGTATGATCTCATGTGGTTCCAATACTCCCCGTCCTAAGACCATATATAGGTCTTGTCTTTCTTGTGTGTAGTTGATGCAGTCTATCAGTCTATGGCTGGGGGTGTCCTCCATGTCCTCTATACAATTCAGACACATTGAGGATTCTGTCCTTCCTATCCTTTTTAGATGAAACCTAAATTCACCATGAGAACTAAGAAAGGATGTAATTTTCTTATTAAATCTCACATGGGGGCAGTTGAGCCAGACTCTTGAGTCTCTTATTAGTTCATAAGTTTTCCTCCCCTTCCTGGAGGTATTCCATAGGTCTTGCCATTGGTCTAAAAGCCTGTGATCTACACGAAGTCTAACTGCCACCCAAAATCTAAATTCGGCGGATACTATATGTTCTCCATAAAGATGTGTACTTCCAATGTTTTTAAGTTGTTTAGGTAGGGACATTTTTTTTTTTTTTTTCATTTACTCTATAAACTTTCGATCTGTTATCTAATAAATTTTAAAACAGATCGTGTTTTGCTCTTTCATTTAGTTATTTTGTTTCTATTTTTTTCTATTTTTCCCTTATTCCTAATGTTATAATTTGTTTAGTAATAATGCCTCAATCTACTAGGTGTTGGATTGTTATTTATGCTTTGTTGTTACATTTCCTTCGTGCTTTCTTACATTTTCTTATAAGGTTTTCCAGCACCTAGACTTAATCTACTTACATCTAATGTTAGTAACTATATCTACATGCAATTCATGCAATTCATGCAATTGCTTTCCTACGTCTAACATGCACTATATCTAGGGTTTTCATGCATCATGCATACATGCATTCATGCAATGCTTATTCTACAACTACTAGTCTACACACATATTCCACTACCTAGAACACTGTAGGTCAGCAGATATGTGCAATCTTTCCTCCTTCTTCTTCATTCTGCGGGGGGTAGTTCGGCGAGCCTTAGGCCCTTGTCCGGAACGTTTCCTCCCCTTTTATCTTCTGTCTTCTCTCTTATCTTCTGTTGTTATAAAGTTGCTGTTGTCTCAATGATACTTTTTGAGACAATTTGTTTAAGATCTTGTATGTTTCCTCGTTGTTAATCATGTCCCTAAGGTCCATTCCTTGAATTCTGATTCTTAGGTCTTCTTGGTCAATGAAAGTTGGACATTCCAGAACTACGTGCTCAGGCGTGCCTTCTTCTCCACATTCGCACAAGCTATTTTCTTTCAGGTTGAATCTATGTAGGTAACTCGGATACGGTCCATGTCCTGTGAGTAAGTGTACAAGTCCAGGACTCGGATCAAAGTAGTCTGGTACCTCCTCCAGGACTGGTAGTACTTCATGCACTCTTCTGGCTTTATCTGAGTTATCCCACATTTCTTGCCACTGAATTGAGATTTCTCGGTGGACATCCATTTTTCTTCTAACTTCTGTGCCGATAATAGCTTGCGCCTTAGCGTAGTCTGCACGCCTGATCCAGTACATGGCTGCTCGTTTTTTCAGCTCCAGCTGCATCGGCAGAACCCCCACTAGTGTTGTGAGGGCTAGCGTTGCAGTGGTGCTGAAAGCTCCTGTCATTCGTACTAGGAATCCTCTTTGGGTCCTGTCGACTTTCTCTCTGTTTTTGATGTTCTGCAGCCTATGCACCCACACGCTTGAACTATAGCTGGGGATTGATGCCAGTACCGCGCTCAGATAGACTCTCACCAATCTGAACGGTATTCTAACTTCTCTTTGCACCAGGCTTGTTATCCGGTGCATTGCAGATGTTGCTCGATTGCAGACGTCTGAGATATGGTAGGCGAACATTCTGAACTCGTCCATTATGACGCCTAGATATCGTACTCTTTCTGTCCTTCTCACAAGTTGTTGATTGATACGAATTTGTGGGTCTCTGTTGAGTTTCCCTTTTACAATATTGTAAGTGGTTTTCTCCACAGATATCTTCAACTTCGTTTCACTGCACCATCCGTGAACAGTTTCCAGGACATCGTCACATTTCTGTTCCAATTCCCTTCTGCTGTTCCCGTCTGCTGTTATTAGTAAGTCATCTGCATATGCGACCGTGCCTAGTGCATTTTCCGTTCTAGTTAACCGTTCAAGTAACCCTTCCAATATGATGTCCCAGAAAATTGGACCGCACACAGAACCTTGAGGACAGCCTTTTGTCAAACATTTTGATTTCCTGCCTATTGGACAGCTCAGATTTGCGTATCTATCTTGACAGTAGCTCCTGAAGCTTTTTTTTGTATAGTTTTTCCGGGCACTGCATCTCTCGAAGTCTTTCGAATAGTGCGGGCCACCTGAGATTATCGAATGCTCCTGATATATCAATGTATATCGCTATCACATATTTTCTCTCGCTACTGTCAATTGTTGTTATTGCCTTGTTAATGGCGTCCTCCGTGGATTTTCCGGCTCTATAGCCATACTGATCCGGGTGGACACCATTCCTTTCTCTGTGCTCATTTAATTTTTTACATTGAAGTTTTTCTTGAAGCTTACCTATTGAATTCAATAAGCAGATCGGTCTGTATGATTTTGGTTTAGATGGATCTTTGTCTTCCCCTTTATTTATTATAATTACTTCCGCCTGTTTGAACACTTTAGGTACTATGCCTTGCCTTAGACATTCGTTATACAGTTTTGTCTGAGCTGGGATAAGTGTACCAGTAGTACCTCTACTGGTATTTTTTCAGGTCCTGGCGCCTTTTTCTTTTTCATTTGTTTTAGTGTTTCATATACTTGTTCTTCCGTGAATGGAATCAAGATTGTCTCTGGTGGCTCATGGTATGCTTGTACCATTGCCCTTCTGGTCTGTTGTTGTGCTTCAGTTTCTCCCTCGTGCTCATCTGAGGGTAGTAGTATTCTCATTAGGAGCTCGGCAGATTCTTCCCATGACCTGGTCA